GCTAGGAGCTGGAACCAACTTCCAAGGGAAGTGGTGCTGGCCCCTACCCTGGGGGTCTTTAAGAAGAGGCTGGATGCCTACCTGGCTGGACTCATTTGAGTCCCGTTTTTTGTTTTGGGGTTTTGTTGTTCTCCCGCCCTGGCGTGGGGTCGGGCTAGAAGATCTACTAGGTCCCTTCCAACCCTAAATCTATGAAACTATGAAACTATGACTAAAGTGCCAGAGTGATTCTGTTACCCTGTAGCCTGGCACAACATACACAACATACATTGTCTTGGAGAAGTCAGCTACATATGTACCAAGTAACTGATTTGATGATGTACAAAGTAATTGATTTGATGGGCTGAGCACAGCACTGACCCTCAGAAAGCTGCTTCATGCCTAGATTGAATCCCAACTCATTGAGGCCTTCTAAGTGTGCTGCCAGGAAAACACCGTTAGAGAGGGACTGCTAGTAATTACATGAAGGAAAATACACCAGACTGTTAACTAGCCTATTAGCCTAACTAGGCTAACTAGCGTAGGTTAAATGGTGCTATTTAATAGAAATATGTCTTTACCAGCGCCTTCCCAACTGTACCAAAATGTATTTAGAAGTAAAAATGATTTAAGTCTCTCTTAAAATGTTGCAGATACCAAAAGACTCAGTAACGTCAAGTAGCCACAGATTTTCATTGTTCAGTTTACTTGCACAATTCAGGGTAAGTTTTGTTTAACCAGTAGGAGAGCTAATTTGGGGTCTAACTAATAACCCCAATGACTTCACAGGGCATGCTGCGGTCCAGTTTCCTGACAATTCGAAAGGAGCATTCTGGCCAGTTGCGAATGGCTATGCAGTTCACCCGATCATAGTTGGTAGGATAAGAAATTCTGCCAATAAAAAGGAAAAAAAATGTGTAAGTGATGCAAGGGAAGAATAATGCGGTAAAGAAGATAAAGGCCATGGAAAGTGTCCACATGGCTGCTGCAGGGTTTGTAGGTACAGCAGAAAGAATACAAGATATCAGATAGTGGAGATGAACCCCACCCCAGAGGCCGTGGTAAATGAGGCCCTGTGCTTAGTGTTCCAGCCTAAGTTTGCAGACCAAGTCAGTGACAGAGGCAAGGTAGGGCCCAGGTCACTTCTAACCACTAGCATACCGGCTGGATTCTCACAGCTTCTGCTTCTGCTGTTCTAATGTGATGGTTCAGAATCTGAAGACGATATCCCCTGGACTCTATGCTGGTTGGGGAGCAAAATGAATATGAGATTATTTAGAACTAGACTTACGTTTTGCAGCACTGCACTCCAGTTGAGCTACATGTGCACTTTAAGCAGTCCCTGGCCTCCCAGGTATCCTCAAATTGGTACCGCACTCCGTTGTGGTAACAAGCTAAACAGACACAGGGAAAATAATGTTTGATGAAAGAGACACCTGGAGCCAATAAACCTGAGGACTAATACATCTTGGGCAGCAACAGAGCAAACTTCAATCTATGCCACAGGCATGATCAGGAAGGACAAGTTTCTACAAAGAAAGAAGTTCAGTCTGTGTACTGGCCCTTTTCTTGGCCTTTTCAACAAAGCCTGTGGGCCTCTGAATTGTGCTGGGGGGTGGCATGTGAAATTTGGGTGACTGGATGCAAAATGCTAAGATCTAGACTAGAGGTTTTCAACCTTTTTAACAAGTGTACCCCTTCTGCCTCAAAGTTTCAGCTCATGTACCCCTTTATATTTTTTCTTGTTTTTAAGGCATGGGGGGAGGGGCAGATCAAGGCCCCCATGGTGAGGGAAGGAGTGGGGCTGGGGCTGGGGCTGGGACAGGGGCAGGCACTGCACAGCTGGGGCAGAGCGTGAGATGGAGCCATAAAAGCGGCTTGTCCATGGGGGCGCGGGGGGGGGGGGGGACAGCTCCCACCACTGCACACACCCCAGTGGAGGCCCAGGGGACACATGCCTCCTAGATCTGTGTGCAGGGCGGAGGCAGCTTCTGCTGCAGGTTGGACTCTGTACCCGACTGCCATTGCACCAAGAGCCATGCGATGCCACGTGTCTACTGCCACCAGGTGGGCAGGGGACAGGCACACATGTACATATACCCCCCCCCCCAGCAGGTAAGTGTGTGTGGAAGAGGGAAAGGGCTCAGGGAGGGCAGATTGAGACCCCCACAGTGCAGGAGGGAATGGGGCAGGGGCAGGGGTGAATGAAACCCAGGTCAGGCCCTGGGACAGTGGGAGCCCGGCGGCACATCCAGGGCACTGGGGTGGGGGGTGGGCTCCCACTGCTGTGTGCACCATGGGGGGAGCCAAGGGGGGGCACATGTCCCCCCGCAATCTGTGCATGGGCCAAGAGTGGGCTGGGCTCTGCTGCCACTGCTCTGAGAGCAGCATGAGGCCACGTGTGTCCTGCTGCTGGGTGGCTTGCCAATGGGCTGCTACCTTCCCAGCAATGGGACACATGTGGCCATCATGCTGCTCTCAAAGCAAGCAGTGGCAGCAAGGCACAGAGGGTCAGAGGGTCTGAATGGCAGGGGGGAAGGGAGTGTGTTTCTGTGCCTGCTCCCAGGAGCAGGGGTGGGTGGGGGGCGAGGGCAGCGGCACCCCTCTGTAGGCCACACAGGCACCACCCGGCGAGTCAGAAGTGGGAAATGGGGGGACTTTGTATGTGGCAGCCACTGCTGCCACCACCACCTACCTGCGGAGCCACATGTGCAACCAGCCATGGGAAAGTGATGCAGGTTGGTAGCGGCGGCAGGGGCTGCTATGTGCGACCCCTGCCTCCCCTCGCCAGGCCAGGCAGTGCCTGTGCAGCCCGCAGAGGGGTGCTGCTGCCTTTGCCCCCCACTCCCACCACCCTGCTCCTGGGAGCAGGCACAGAAACATGCTCCCCCCCACTGCCAGTGAGACTCTCTGCACCTCACTGCTGCTGCTTGCTTTGAGAGTGGTAGCTCCCCTCCCCCTCCCCTAGGTAAGAGGCAAAGTGTGGGAACATGGCAGGAGAGATGCTGCCACCGGGCCCCAAGGCATGCTCCGTCCCCGCACACCCGTGCGTACCCCCTATGACCTTTCTAAGTACCCCTAGGGGTACGTGTACCCCTGGTTGACAACCCCTGATCTAGACTGTGACCCTCTGCCCATGTCATGTGCAGTATTGAACAGCAATCAGATGTCAGTAAGTTGTGTTTATCTGGCCTGGAGTTGCACTGATGACCAAGAAGAGAGAAGCTGCTGTGTTGTGCAGAGAGATCAACAGGCTTTGAAACTTGCCCTGATGATCACTATATGTGGGCTATGTCATTGCAGAATGAATACAGCAGAACTTGATTTGCCACTCTTACCTGCTGGATTGCCTCGAAGTGAATAGAAAAAGCATTGTGACCTGCATAGTGTCACTGAGATGCCAAAGGCAAGAATGATACCCAGGAACAGCTTCTGTAAAAGAAAGGCAAACCCCACAGCCAAAATCAAATAATAGCTAGTAACTTCCCCAGAATATTCCTTTTGGATTTAAATTTTATATTCCTGATTTCAGTTCCCAACCTGCTTCTTTTGGAAAGTTTGATTATAATCCTTTCAGGTTTTAGTGTCCACAAACAAAAGCATCAGAATGTCTAGTCTGAAATATTGCTCTTGTCCCTCCTAACCCATCATAAACACTAACCAGGCTGCATTTTGAAATAGCCTGTATAGCATGCACTTGGGCTTCCAGGGAAGATGCAATCTTAGCACACTTCAGATAAATGTTTTGTTTTTTTTTAAATTAGGGACAAACGTGAACCAGAAGCATCAATCCAGGAACTATTCCTTTTGGATTGAACCACCAGTTGGAGTGGTGCATGGGGTTTGGGGCCCAGGGCGGGAATGCGCAGCCATAGGGTCCAGGCAGGGAGAGGGATGGGGCTGCAGGTTGGTCATTGGAGGGTAGAGGGGAGCTGGCTCCCTGCCACTACATGTGCTCCCAAGGGAGGCATGGGGGTACGTGCCCACCAGATTTGTTCATGGGGCAGGGGCAAGGGTGGGCTGCCCACTGTGGGCTCAGGTTCCCTGCCCTGCCGCCCTCCCCCGGGGCTTTCGCAATTCAGCACATAAGACCTAGCGCAGCAGGTCAGAGCAGGGCAGTAAGCTTGGTGCCCCCGCCACAAGCCCCACACCTCCATGGTGAGCTGCTCCCTGCCTACCCAGCAGCAGCAGGGTAGGGGCACAGAGTTGTGCCCCTCACTGCTGCTGAGCAAGCAGGAAGCATGTCACCATGGCGGCATAGAGCTCCCAGCAGTAGCACTGAGTTTCCCTGCCTGGCCTCACTCGCTACACCAGGTCCTGCCCACTGGGTTGCAGAGGCCCCAGAGGGAGGGCAGCAGGCAAGGAACACTGACCCTAAAGTGGGGGGCACTGTGGGTGGGGGCTCTGCTCCAACCATGCTGCCCATGGAGGCGGGGGGGGAGCTGCGCCCTGCACTCCACTCTACTGCAGCACCACGGGAGGCAGCCAGAGTTCAGGCACTGCTGCAGAGAACAGGAGGCTGCGCAGGGGTGATGTGTAGGGAGTGCATGTGCATCCCCTGAGAGCGCCAGTGCACCCCCTGTCAGGCCGCACTCCCTGTTAGCCGGTTGGCAGGAGGGGCAGGTGGGAGCAGCAGTGCCCCCCCACTGTGAGTGCCGGCCAGGGAGAGGGGCCACCAGCAAAAGCAGCCACGCTGCTTCCAGAAGTGGCTGCAGGAGTTTTGGAAGTGGCATGGCCACTTCTACGGTGAGTGAGACCCTCCCCGGTTGCTGACTGGTGTCTGCTGCCCCACCTGACTCAAGAGGCACCAGACATGAAACACCAAAACTTATAGGTATTTAGAATTTATTTTATTATACCAATTAGGGTACTGGTAGGTTTCCAAATTGCTTTAAAATTGTAAATATATCAATAAAATATTGTGTTCAACTGATCCCTATCTATATAATGGTATTTTATTTTAATCACAGAAACATGCGATTATGGGGTTTTTAATAGGGGTGTGCGAAACGGGCCATATTCGATTATGATTTGACCTTAATCAGGGACAGTGAGTTGATTCATTGATTTGGATCACTATCCCCAATTCGATTCGGCTGAATCTGAAGATTCAATGCTGATTCAGAGAATCAGCGATTTGGCCATAGACACAGGTTTAAATGTTTTTTCTACATACCTCGAGGTACCAGGTGCGGCTTCTGAACCCTGCAGTGGTGGGGCATATGGAGCATCCCACAGAAGCACGAGGCATGCCCCCGTGTGCTTGGTGATGAATCAGAAGTGGACCGGGACTACTTCCGGTCCACTTCGAGGTCCATTGCCAAGTGCGCCAGGGGGTCTCCCTGCGTCCCCCCAGCTTGGTGATCAGCCACAGGGGGACCCTGGGTGCCCCACCCCCCGCCAGACCCAGGAGGCAACAGATACCGAGCCGGGGGGGTACGGGGCGAGCCCCGTGCGCACTCCCCAGTGGACCTGGAAGTGGACCAGAAGTGCCTCTGGTCCACTTCCAGGTCGGCTGCCAAGTGTGCTGGGGACCCCCTGCACTCCTGTGGGACACTCCATCTGCCCCAGCATCTCAGTATTCTACCTGCTACCCGGTAGAAAAAACATTTAAAGCTGTGTCTATGACCAAATCTCCAAATCTTTCCTAATCTCTGAATCAATTCAGAGGGTTCCAATTCAATTCAAAGAGATTAAAGTGTTTCCCAGTTCGATTTGGATTTGGAGATTTGGCCATCGCATTGGGCTGAGTCTCCACCAAATAGAATCAGTGACCGGAGCTTCTCGCAGCCCTAGTTTTTAATCAGAGAATTTGCAGGGGTTTAAAGTCAGAGAATTTACTATTTTTAAACAAAGAAAACTAGGATCCTTGGTTATAATATAAGAGCCAGTGACGACACAGTAATTTAAAAAGTAACATATTCAAAGCTGATTAAAGAAGATACATTTACAAAAAAAAGGTAACCAATGGAACTCACTACCAGAAGACATTGAGGCAAAGCTTTTAGAGGGCGTCACTAAAGGATTAGACAGGAGTAATAAGAATATCCAGTGCTTTCCATTAACAAAACTAAATGTACATAAGGGAAATAAGCCATTGTTAAGTGTGGTATGAATGACATTGAGAAGAAATTTCCCTTATGGACAGGTTATTCTATAATTGCCTGTAATTGGATCCCTTCTACTTTCTTTTGAAAAATCTGCTACTGGCCACTGACAGACATGCAGAGTTGGAGGAGATGGACAGTTGATCTGATCTAGAATGGGAGTTTCTAGTTACCAAAGTATGATCCATGGGCTAACCTCTTTGGTAGCAGCTTGAAATCAGGCATTTCACATCAGTTAGGAAAATGATTCTAAGTGGCCTTAGGGCCTCATTACACAGTAATTTTTGGTGGCTCTTAACCCCTGAACAGGCCGCACATTAACAGCTTTAAGTGGCTTAAAGCACTCATTACGTAGCTCAAAGTTATACCACTCCAAGGCAGCATTATCTCTGATCTGCATAATTTTGCTCCTGTTCCATTAAGGTATGGCCACTCCCCACAGCTGTGCTGCTCAAGTTGGAGTCCTCCAGTTTCCCAGGACACAGTGCCCCCTCCCCAACATGATGTTTCAGTGCGCAGTTGAAAATACTGACACCTCGAGGCAGGTCGAGACTGGCGGGGAGTAAGGCAAGGAGGCACAGAAAGCTGGAGCCAGTGCACCAGGATGCTGCTGCAGGGTGGGCAGAGTGTGACCCAGCACAAGAGAAAGAGAAAAGCCGTGTGAAGTGCCACCGAGGATGTGAAGGGTGCTGAGCAGGGGGATGTGCGCTGGCTCTGCTGCCTGGCCCAGTGAAGCACTGATGGCTCCATTGGTGCCAGGCCCAGGAGCACTGCATTGTGCCACCCTGCTCGTTTCCTTCCACAGAACTATGCCGTGGCTAGTGGGAGCTTTAGCAGCCCCAGTGGTGGCACAGGGGAGGGACAGAGAGGAGAAGGGGAGGTACTACCTCATCACTGCGAGCCACCAGCGTGCTGCCTGTGCCTGCGCTGGGCTCCAGGGAAGGCAGGTGTCACTGCTGGGAGGAAACCAGTGGGGTGGCGGACTGCAGTGCTCCCAGGCTGGGCAGAAATGGAACAGAGGTGTATTAAGGTGTACTGGGGCCCTGGGCAAACACAAAAGTGGAGAACACCTCCTCACATGGGAGCTGGGCTGCGGGGGGTGGGGGGGAAAGGGGTCCCTTCCCCTCCTGGTGCTGGCAGGGGAAGCTGAGTGGACCCTGCTGGGCTCAGGGTGGAGGTGGGGCACATGCCCCCCTCTTCTCCCTGCTGGCCATCCCTCCCCCCCACTCCCTGCTATGGCCAATCGTACGCACGCAGGTGTGCACACAGATGGGCACGCACTCTGCTCTCACTCACTCTCTGCACATGGACACACACAGACTCCTTGCAATAAACAGATATGAGTGCATGCAGACACGTGCACAGACACACACAAAGAAATAGATACATACAGATGCACAGACGTGCATAGAGACACATAGATGCAGATGCACACAGAAACACTGTGTGTACACACACAGGTGTGCACAGACATGCACACACA